TAAGCAGAGTCATCCACTGTGACTCTGGCAGCAACTACCTCAGCCTTTTTCCTTTTACATTTTTTTTTTCTTTTCATGACGACAGTGGTGAGCCCCTGCCTCCCTATCCCTGCAGTGAAATGAATTGCCTCCAGAAGTTTTGAGTGCTCCAAGTTTGGTGGTTTTTAAGAAGAAATTGGACAAACATTCATCTGAAATGGTACAGGATTTCCTGCTTGAGCAGGGGTTTGGACTAGAAGAGCTCCAAGATCCCTTCCAATTCTGTTATTGTGTTATTCAAGCGCATAAAGCTTATGAACTGATTGATTTTTGACGTCTTTTCAGAATGAACAAGGGATAATTTTAGGCAATCCAATATGCCAAGCAATACATTTGGAATTTTGATAGTACTTGTGTGTGAGCATTTCATGCTCTCATGATATGATTGTCATAGATCAAGTATGTCAAACTCGCATCGTCCCATGATGTGTCATTACTTTTTTCCCTTTCACTAAACTGGGTGTGTGACGTATCTTACTCGTGGGCCACAAGTTTGGACCTGTCATAGATGGTGTGAGAATTCATTTATTTTCATTAAAATAATTTAATAAAGTCATATGGAGTAATATTTAAATAAAAATACACAAATGTATTCATCAGGACAATACTGCCGATCACTGAACTATATCAGCAATATATATGCAGGCCTGCAATAAGACCCTTTTTTTCCATATCAACCACGTCTATTTCAGTTTTTCACAAAAAGTCCAGAAATGTTTTCCAAGTGGAAACAAAATTTATCAGTCTTTTCTTTCATCAAGGCTATCATTTTCCGTCTTTGCCAATTTTACCCATTTCACCCCATTCTATTGTAGGTATTTGTAAGTTCTTCCACCTGGGAGCATGTAAAAATCTTGCTATTACTAAATATAAAAAAAGTAATTCCATAAAATGAATCCATTTGTTTGCCCAAAAAGGCATTAAGATTTGTTAATTTAATTTTGTGAAGCTTCTTCTCCGGTAATATTGTACTGCTAACTAGGGCATACAAAACCTTTGCCAGACCAATTCTCAAATACAGCTCATCTGCCTGGAATCCACATTGTTTATCGGATATTAATACAATTGAGCCGGTCCAGAAGTTTTTCATGAGAAGAGTACTCCACTCCTCTGCTCACAATAGAACCCCTTACATCACCAGGCTTGAAAGTTTGGGCTTGAATAACCTGGAACTACGCCGCCTATAGTCTGACCTAAGCATAGCACATAAAATTGCTATGTAACACTGCTACAACATCCTAACTGTCAATGGCTATTTCAGTTACAACTTCAATAATAAATGGGCAAACAAACTCAAGGTAAATCGTTCCAAACTCGATTGCAGAAAATACGACTTCAGAAACAGAGTGGTCAACACCTGGAATGCTCTATCTTGTTACATCCTCAAACTTCCACAGCTTCAACCTTAAACTGTCTACCATGGACCTAACCCAATTCCTAAGAGGTCCATAAAGAACACCAGTGCACCTACCATCCCTGTCTTACTGACCCCATTTATTTGTACTCATTTCCTTTGTTCATGTCCATTTTTACACTTATACCTGTTATCTTGTACATGTTTGACAAACTAAATAAATACAATTAATAAAATAAATCAAAATTCATAAGATTCTGCCTAACCAACTTGCTCAGATTGAGGAAGCTGCTTCAATGGGCAGCGAAATGATTCAGATTAAGTCCAGTTGCCATGACTCAATTTTCAGACAACCCTAGATGACTGAGAATGTTCATCAATATATCAAAATACTTATTTATCTCAATATTTTCTAGTTTTGTTACATGTCCAGGAATAATGAAAAAGTGTTCTGTTATTTCAAGCAATTATTTGAAATCCACTTTTACTTTTTTCACAATTTATGTGGTGTCATATATCAATGATACATAAAAGTTTTAAGATTACATGTCAGTGTAAATTTCAATATTTTCTTTCACATAGACTCCCGTGGTCCAACTTATATCCATTTCATCATACAATCGTTAACTTATTGATCCTCTGTTTCCATTTTCAATAAATGTATATACATTTTGGGAATATTTTACCCTTTCAATATGATCATATTGAATTGATCATATCCAATTTACCCCTTTCAAAGTCATAATCATAAAAAGATATCTCAGTAAGACAGGTTCAGGAAATGTTTGCATTCTCACTGACATCACTCTAAGGGAATATTTCAACCCGGAGATGAAGAAGAAAAAAAAAGATAAAAATGAAAGTATTTCTAAACTCAATATTTATAAATGAGATGTAATATTGCAATGTACATGTGAGATAACACTATATCTGAAGTCTTCATTATATTGCAGATCAGAAGTCTTATGCATTTTGGAAAATTAAAAAACAGATTAATGGGGCCCAAAAGGATTTGAAATTCAAAAAATTAAATTAATTGTAAAAATATTTCCTGTGTTTGAGTTCTTTGGGAAAAATAATAATAGCAGGGGACTTTGAAGATTGGACACTAGAGGGAACTAGACAAAAATAAAGATTACAATTAAAAGAAAAGAATACATAACCAAAAAATGGAGAAAATAGTGGGTGGTTTGAAGGACAGTTTTGAACAATAGATTAAGAATTAATTTTAAGAATATCTGATACTATGGCTAAATGGTGTGTTAATGATGTCACAGAAGAAAAAAAACTACACTGGTAAAATTAAAATGTGGATTTAAATATGATAGGTTGCAAGAAAAATATAAAACAAGAGGGTATATCGAATATACATATGAAACCAGGTGATGTCCTAACATTTAAAGGGGACAAACAAGTATCAAACCAGCAGAATTATTTGGATAACTGTTTCTTATTGGATCAACAAAAGAGATCTGTTGAATTCTTGAAGGATTCTCTGAGAAGGGACAAAAAGAAAATGAAATAATTTAATATGACATTATTTGATGAAATAAAAACAAAGATTATTAAAAATAAAAATATGAAAAATAAAACATAGGGAAGGAATATAGAATTGATTTATTTCAGCAAGGTTAAAACATAAGAAATTTTGGATAATCTTTAATGGACTTTTGCTGACTTTCCTGTGAATTAAATGCCATCTGCTGGACAAACATAAACTATTTTTCGTGTCCTCGTTCTTCAAGGTGCACAAGATTGTTTCCTAAGAAATTAACACACTGTGATAGATTCTTAACAGCTGAAGTGGCAACACATTTGTCAGGATGCTTTACCTTGCAATCCTAAATGAAGAAGACCCATCAACAAGACCTACTGACCACACAAAGCCCTTATAAACAGAAAAACACTGACACCCGCTAAACCCACAAGCTTGGAAAATGAATCTTCACCCCCATCCTATACCCAAGCTATAGATATTCGCCATTATTGTAGTATGGGTCTCCAAAAATGCATTCTCAGAAATGGAAAATTCTAAACCTGGTTATTTCTAACAGAACTCTGTTTACTTTTTATCATCATGTATGCACTGCGATCCTATCTCTCTCTCTTATGCATACACCTGTGTTCCTCAAAAGGTGATGCACTGAGGAAAAGAATGAAGGCTTTGCCTCATCCATGCTGGACTGTAATAAAAAAGCAAATACTGTATATGATTATAAACTATACTGAATTGAAAAGAGAATTGAGGCAGATACTTTATGAGAATTTTATTGTAGAATGAGCATTATAAAAATGTTCCATTAATTTTTGTTTCAAAAGTCTGCTGTTGAGATCCATCCTGAAGCCACAAAAGAAACATTTAGTCCAAGAACAAATAAAATTTGCACTTAACATAATCCATCAGGTATTGTAACAATTCTTAAGGGTACCATATGAATGCAGATTTTATGTTAAAAACATTCATATATAATGTATATTTATTTAAAATTGCTTTAATTATTAATATTTATTTAATAAGGATTTTATTTACTTATAGTACTGATGTCAGGATTACCAATAAAAGAAAGAAGACATATATATTCTTTCAAAGAATAAATGTGAGATTTGTTACAAGAATACAAATCAGGCAAAAATAAACACAAAATTGTTACACTATTTCAGACATGCTATTTCATAGTTATTTATCATCACAGATTCAGCATGTTATCTATATTGTTTTTCTTAAAGGGTCTTCAAATTGAAATGCTTTTGTATTTGCAGCTAACAGCTTAGAACTTAATACTATTGTATATAAAGTTTTCATAGCATAGGTAAATTTCACATTTAAATATAATTGTCCCTCAAGTACTTTATAATAGTTTTATAATGTACTATGTGAAGATTTGCTGTTAAAAAGATTTACATTCAGTTATAGTTCTTAAAAACTGTTTTTCCATTTTTAATACCCATTTGAAAAGGATTTGTGATACTACCAGTAAAAAATATAAATCCCATGAATGTGCGTTCTTTTGCTAAATAAATGAAAGATCAATCCAAAGAATAAAACATGTTAATAAACAAAATTAGATACAAAGTTATTATTCTTGTACATTTCAGACATAACATATCAAAGATACATTCGGGATAGTTTCCAAATTAATAATCTATATAGTTAATTCAATTTGCTGTTAAAATAGAATCACACTTGGTTATATATTGCCGTTAATAGCAGAGAAGGCAGGAGGCAAAGCTTTTCATATCTCATTTTCCAGTTTCAAATGAAGATTTCCAATACGATCACATGCCATTTACAGTTGAGATTTCTCCTTTCCAGTGAATGAAGTTTGTGTATAAGTATGAATTTGATCCTAGAAACGACAATTAAAAATAGAAATAACTTCTGTTAATATACAATTCACAACTAATTTTAGTTGCACACATGCTTCTTTAATTACATTTTAGCTAAATGAATAATGAAATACTCCTTATTCCTTTATTGCTCATTGGTACTTTCTTTGCTAACTACATGTACTATCACATAGCCATAGGGATTGTGACAGCTACTGATTTTTATGTGAATATGTTTTGCATTTTTTTTTACCATTTTCTGATAAAAACTGAAAAAATGTCCATTGAATAAGCTGAATTCAGACTTATGACTATGTGATTCATTAAACAAACCATGATTCATTTAATAACCATCATAAAAAATCATGAAATCAAATCCTGTCATGTGGAGACTCAACATATGATCACAATGATTTTTGACCAAATTTCTGAGCTCGATTGTATTCATAAGTAGAAAACTCCTTGTAGTAACGTATTTGTTGTTTGTTTTCAACTTTGTTCTTAAAGATCCTCTCACTCTTCCTTTGAGACAGCCATTTATGCCATCTATGCCTTGATCCATTTTCAATTGCTTAATCTTATCCAGTTAATCTTAATCTATTTACTTTCAACATTAATCTAAATTGATAATGTTTTCTTACCTTTCTTTTCCCTTTAGCATTGTGTTTATCCAGATGGGCTTGAATGCCTGCACCATAATCAGGATGAACATCCATAAAGTTTTTTACCTGGATTGAAAAAGGAAGCTTAGGTCATTTGTCTCTTTTTCTAATACCTGCTCTTATAAGGACAATTGCTTTTGGCACAGAGAGCAGAAATTTCAGCACATCTGGACTAGAGTTATTTCAACTAATAGCAGAAGTACCATTTTTCAATTTATCACATATAACTGGTCATTTAATCAGGCTATAACTGACAAAAAAAGCTAAATATTATTTTTACAAGAAAACATTTACCTTTCCATGTTACATTTAACAAGTATATGCTAAACATAATTAAATCTGACTTTAAAAGGCTATATCATTAAGAGTTTACTTTTCTACCCAAAGTGAGATATATTCAACACTGAACTTGATCTGGATTGCAAACTAAACACTTTATATTTTCAGTAGTTTTCAAATGTAAAATATTGAAAAGGCTGCAAAAAATAATCGTCAAAAGAATTATTCAGAAAGAAACTTAACTATGCTCAATTATGCACCTTAAAAAAACCTTAGGATTGTAATCCAAAGCAATTACTGCTAAAGCTAATTAATTCCAACTAAAAAAGTGAAAGTTCACTGATCAAGGATCTTTACACAATTTGATATCACCAAGCATAAACTCACTACCACAAATCTTTCTAGCAAAAGAAACTGACAAATCAGAGTCAGTCTCTGTGCTACCCATTGTTTGACTGGCCTATTACATAAGATGACTTAAGTAGAAAAAGCATGCTGAATTGCATAGAAATCAATATGGATTTTTCAGCAACATGCTTTAAATTGTGAGCAGCTTAAAAGGCGTTTCCAAGCTGTGGGCCAAGATGTACTACTGGACCGTGGCCTTTTGGCCACTAGGACACATGAGTGGCTGGTCAATGTGTGCTCAGAGCATGCACACATCCCTCATATGACAGGATGCTCTAAATCATTCCTCTACAGAAAGTGGTAAGGACAGGGGAAGGTTGTAGAGCAATTCAGATTCAAAAGGCAGCATATGATTTGGAGGGCATGTAGGTCTGCACAAAACATTTTGAAACCAAAACTCTTTATCCAAAATTGTACGCCAGCAGATGTGTAAGACCAAGAAAAGACACAGCTACTTTATAACAGATTATATATATATATATGATTTTTTTTTTTTAGCTTCCTCCCATAATTGGGGCTTACCAGGGGTTGTAAAAAATCTAATAGATACCTTTCACCCTCAATTCGCTGATAAACGGATAAGAGCCTGTGGCCTAATGGCTAAGATCTCTGCCTAGTATGCCTAGTGTGCAATATAGCCCAGGTTCAAATCCCAGTAAGGGTATGGCTAGCTGATGAGAGCTAAATAGCTTGAAATAGATCTATACTAGTCTCCCTTTATTTATTTATCAGCCCAAATAAAACACACACACACACACACACACACACACACACATATATATATATATATATATATTTGTTATATTTGTGCTG